TTAAATGGAAAATATGATAAAATATAAAAAATCTTGAAATCCGGGTCCAAGGAGACCCAATCCGTTGTAGAACATTTGGAGTCGATCTGTCTGGCTAGCTGGTGTGCACGATAACTCTCGAAGGGAATATCCGATTTGTTCCAAACTCGTAATATTTTTGACAAACTTAGATCGAGCTCGGAGATGGGCAATAACGGTCCACTCCTTCTGGTACCTCCCCCACAAAAGGTTGAAATTTTCAAAAAAATATATTTTAATATATATAAAATACATAAAATGTGATGTAAGAGTCCGATTGTCTTCAAATTTTACACATCCCAATAATTTTATTAACCCAAGGTCTGGTGCCAAGATGGAATACATCGGTCCACTCCTCCTGTTACATGCCCCACAAAAGGTCGAAATTATCAAAAAAAATATATATATACTGCTCAGAAAGAGAAACGATAATCCGATTTTGCTCCAACTTTGCAGATCCTAATATTTGCATCAATAATTTAATTAACCAAAGGTCTGGTGTAAATGTGGAATACATCGGTCCACTCCTTTTGGTACCTTCCCAAAAAAATGTCAAAATTTAAAAAAAAAATTCTGCACATTCGATTGTTCTCCAACTTTGCAAGGCCCAATATTTCCGCCAGTTCTAGGTCAGGTCCGAAAATGGACAATATCAACCCACTCCATAAAGTGCCTCCCCACAAAGGCTCAACATTTTGAATAATTACAACTCTTATGAAATGTGATGTAAGAATCCGATTGCCTAAAAATTTCACACATCCCAAAATTTTATAAGCCCAAGGTCTGGTTTGAAGATGATCGGTCAACTCCTTCTGGTACCTCCCCCACAAAGGGTCAATATTTTGAATATCCATGAAACTCATAAAACGCAAAATTAACATCCTATTCCATTCAGACTTGTCACATCTCAATATTTCTATCAACACAATATCTGTTATAGAGATTGTAGAGTTCGGAGCATTCCTTCTGGTACGACTCTTCAAAAAAAAAATTTTAAAAAAACCATGTCTACAAGACTCTCAAAAAATATTCCTTAAAAATTCCACGCCTCAAAGACTCTTCAAAAAATCTCTTAGACTCTTCATAAAATATTCTCTAAAAAATCCACGTCCCGAAAACTCTTCAAAAAATATTCATTAAATAATCCACGTCTCGAAGACTCTTCAAAAAATATTCTTCAAAAAATCCACGTCTCGAAGACTCTTCAAAAAATATTCTTTAAAAAATCTACGTCTCGAAGACTCTTCAAAAATATTCTTTAAAAAAAAGACGTATCGGAGACTCTTCAAAAAATATTCATTAAAGAATCCACGTCTCGAAGACTCTTTAAAAAATATTCTTTAAAAATCCATGTCTAGGAGACTCTTCAAAAAATATTCTTTAAAAAATCGACGTCTAGAAGACTCTTCAAAAAATATTCATTAAAAAATCCACGTCTAGAAAACTCTTTAAAAAATATTCATTGAAAAATCCATGTCTCGAAGACTCTTCAAAAAATATTCTTTAAAAAATCCACGTCTCGAAGACTCTTCAAAAAAATATTCTTTAAAAAATCCACGTCTCGAAGACTCTTCAAAAAAATATTCTTTAAAAAATCCATGTCTCAAAGATTTTTCAAAAAATATTCTTTAAAAAATCCATGTCTCAAAGATTCTTCAAAAAATATTTAAAAAATCCAAGTGTCTTGACTCTTAAACAAATATTCTTAAAAAATCCACGTCTCTTAGACTTTTCAAAAAATATTCTTTAAAAAATCCACGTCTCTTAGACTCTTCAAAAAATATTCTTTAAAAACTCCACGTCTCGAAGTCTCTTTAAAAAATCCATGTCTAGAAGACTCTCTAACTCTCTCTCTATTCTTTAAAAACTCCACGTCTCGAAGTCTCTTTAAAAAATCCATGTCTAGAAGACTCTCTAAAAACAATCTTTAAAAAATCGACGTCTCGAAGACTCTTCAAAAAATATTATTTAAAAAAATCCACGTCTCTTAGACCCTCCAAAAATATTCTTTAAAAAATCCAAGTCTCTTAGACTCTTCAAAAAATATTCTTTAAAAAATTCACGTCTCTTAGATTCTTCAAAAAATATTCTTTAAAAAATCCATGTCTCAAAGATTCTTCAAAAAATATTCTTTAAAAAATAGACGTATCGGAGACTCTTCAAAAAATATTCTTTAAAAAATCCATGTCTAGAAGACTCTTCAAAAAATATTCTTTAAAAAATCCATGTCCAGAAGACTCTTCAAAAAATATTCTTTAAAAAATCCACGTCTCTTAGACTCTTCAAAAAATATTCTTTAAAAAAATCCACGTCTCTTAGACTCTTCAAAAAAAATATTCTTTAAAAAATCCACGTCTCTTAGACTCTTCAAAAAATATTCTTAAAACAATCCACGTCTCGAAGACTCTTCAAAAAAATTCTTTAAAATATCGACGTCTAGAAGACTCTTCAAAAAATATTCTTTAAAAAAATCAACGTCTCGAAGACTCTTCAAAAATACTCTTTAAAAAATCCACGTCCCGAAGACTCTTCAAAAATACTCTTTAAAAAATCCACGTCTCTTAGACTCTTCAAAAATACTCTTTAAAAAATCCACGTCTCTTAGACTCTTCAAAAAATATTCTTTAAAAAATCCACGTCTCTTAGACTCTTCAAAAAATATTCTTTAAAAAATCCACGTCACTTGGACTCTTCAAAAATTATTCTTTAAAAAATCCACGTCTCTTAGACTCTTCAAAAAATATTCTTTAAAAAATCCACGTCTCTTAGACTCTTCAAAAAATATTCTTTAAAAAATCCACGTCTCTTAGACTCTTCAAAAAATATTCTTTAAAAAATCCACGTCTCTTAGACTCTTCAAAAAATATTATTTAAAAAATCCACGTCTCTTAGACTCTTCAAAAAATATTCTTTAAAAAATCCAGGTCTCCAAGGCTTTTCAAAAAATATTCTTTAAAAAAATCCACGTCTCGAAGACTTTTCTAAAAACATTTTTTACAAAATCCACGTCTCTTAGACTCTTCAAAAAAATATTCTTTAAAAAATCCACGTCTCCAAGGCTTTTCAAAAAATATTCTTTAAAAAATCCACGTCTCCAAGGCTTTTCAAAAAATATTCTTTAAAAAATCCACGTCTCCAAGGCTTTTCAAAAAATATTCTTTAAAAAATCCACGTCTCCAAGGCTTTTCAAAAAATATTCTTTAAAAAATCCACGTCTCCAAGGCTTTTCAAAAAATATTCTTTAAAAAATCCACGTCTCCAAGGCTTTTCAAAAAATATTCTTTAAAAAATCCACGTCTCCAAGGCTTTTCAAAAAATATTCTTTAAAAAATCCACGTCTCCAAGGCTTTTCAAAAAATATTCTTTAAAAAATCCACGTCTCCAAGGCTTTTCAAAAAATATTCTTTAAAAAATCCACGTCTCCAAGGCTTTTCAAAAAATATTCTTTAAAAAATCCACGTCTCCAAGGCTTTTCAAAAAATATTCTTTAAAAAATCCACGTCTCCAAGGCTTTTCAAAAAATATTCTTTAAAAAATTCACGTCTACAAGGCTTTTCAAAAAATATTCTTTAAAAAATCCACGTCTCCAAGGCTTTTCAAAAAATATTCTTTAAAAAATCCACGTCTCCAAGGCTTTTCAAAAAATATTCTTTAAAAAATCCACGTCTCCAAGGCTTTTCAAAAAATATTCTTTAAAAAATCCACGTCTCCAAGGCTTTTCAAAAAATATTCTTTAAAAAATCCACGTCTCCAAGGCTTTTCAAAAAATATTCTTTAAAAAATCCACGTCTCCAAGGCTTTCAAAAAATATTCTTTAAAAAATCCACGTCTCCAAGGCTTTTCAAAAAATATTCCTTAAAAGATTCCACATCTCGAAGACTCTTCAAAAAATATTTTTAAAAAATCCACGTTCCGTAGACTCTTCAAAAAATATTCTATAAAAAAATCCACGTCTCTTAGACTCTTCAAAAAATATTTTTAAAAAATCCACGTCCCGTAGACTCTTCAAAAAATATTCTTTAAAAAATTTAACGTCTCTTAGACTCTTCAAAAAATATTCTTTAAAAAATCCACGTCTCTTAGACTCTTCAAAAAATATTCTTTAAAAAATTTAACGTCTCTTAGACTCTTCAAAAAATATTCTTTAAAAAATCCACGTCTCTTAGACTCTTCAAAAAATATTCTTTAAAAAATCCACGTCTCTTAGACTCTTCAAAAAATATTCTTTAAAAAATCCACGTCTCTTAGACTCTTCAAAAAATATTCTTTAAAAAAATCAACGTCTCGAAGACTCTTCAAAAAATATTCTTAAAAAAATCCACGTCATGAAGAGTCTTCAAAAAATATTCTTTTAAAAAAATCCACGTCCGGAAGACTCTTAAAAAAATCCACGTCCCGAAAACTCTTCAAAAAATGGTCTTTAAAAAATCCACGTCCCGAAAACTCTTCAAAAAATGGTCTTTAAAAAATTCCCGTCCCGAAAACTCTTCAAAAAATGGTCTTTAAAAATCCACGTCTAGAAGACTTTTCAAAAAATATTCTTTAAAAAATCCACGTCTCGAAGATTCTTCAAAAATATTTTTTAAAAAATCGACGTCTGGGAGACTCTTCAAAAAATATTTTTTAAAAAAATGTACGTCTGGGAGAGTCTTCAAAGAATATTCTTTAAAAAATCCACGTCTCTTGGACTCTTCAAAAAAATTGTCTTTAAAAAATCCACGTCTCAAAGACTCTTCAAAAAATATTCTTTAAAAAAATCCACGTCTCAAAGGCTCTACAAAAAATATTCATTAAAAAATCCACGTCTGGAAGTCCCTTCAAAAAATATTTCTATTTCCTGGAAATTTTTAGCGATTTTCTAAAATCACCACAGTTGACATCACTAAATATTGCTCCAATTAGCAAAGTTATCTCTCAACTGTCTCTCTCTCTCTCCCCCCCACAAAATCAAAACAAAAACATTTGCAAACTATTCAGACAACAAAACGACTAAAAACAAAGCAGTCATTTTGTCTGAGACGACAGACAGACAATCAACTTCTCAATCGATAAAATCTAAAATAAGGGTTAACAGGTAGATCCATTTAACTGAGTTCAATTAACTTACTTACCATGTTTGTGAAATAGTTCCTTAAAATCCGTTAAGTTTTGTTCATCCAGCCATTCATCGACACTGGGTAAGTCACTGCCAAAGCCATATTCCATCAACGAGGGATAGGTGTGCCAAAAGATGATTGTCAATTTCAGCAGAGAAATGGTGAACATTAAACTGAGACCTAAAGCGACTAAGACTTTCATTGTACTTATGAGCATAGTAGGAGCGGAGCGGAGGGGAGCTGGAAACGGTTTTCTTTTGTTATTATCTAGCGAAGGTGATTACCACTTGTAGGACACAATCCCTCAAACCGAGTGTGCTGTGGCAGACCTCGGTAGACAGTTTGGCGACGGACGGAGGTTAGGAAACGTTGTGATTTGTTAGTGCAAAAGCAACAGTCATTTTATGTTTTGTTGTTTTTTTTTTACTTTCAGCTATGGATTTAAATGCACAACTTAAGGTTGACTGTCAATTTGATTGTCGGGGTGGTGGGTGGCACGCGATTTCATTCATTAACAACAAAAACAATTCGCAGCACATTAAAGTCACACATTTGCAAAACCGCTGTAATTATTCGACCACATTAACTTGCAGAACAAAAGTCCATTACTCAAACTTGATTTTCTCAAAGACGCCAAGAAGGGGATGATGATGATAAAAATGATGGGGAGAAGCGAGCAACATTGATGCAGATGGTTTTTGATTTAAGCACTGAGTAGGTACAACCGTAGGTATACTTTTGCCACAAGGTTTTCAAAATAAAAAAATGTCACTCTTTATTGTCGTCCTGCTGTGTCCTTCTTCTACATTGGCTATTCTTGAGAAAATTGATTTCTTATTTATTTTTCTTTTTCTTTTCTGTTTTTGTTTATAATATTTTGTTTTTACATTTTCTTTTACCCTTCCTTTTATCAAATCTGCAGCACTCGGATGTCGATTTGTAATCACACATGTTTCTCACATTAACTGGTATTCATTTTCCTTCCGTCCGCGTTACCGTTACCTTCAGCCACGAATCTCGATTTGTTTGTTTATCTATCTCTCGTTTGGGGGGCTGCTGCTCTGTTGCTGCCGCTTCTGTTATGCTTGATTCGTGTGAGATTTGATGTTTTGCATTTTTCGTTTCGACTCTCTCCTCTCTGTGTTGCTGTGAACAAATACAAACTGATGAGAGTTGAGTGTTGCCACATAAATAAATTTACAGTTGCCTGAAATTTTTTTATGAATCGGATGAAACTGTTATTGAATTTCGCTATGATAGGATGCTTTAATTTTTACAATGTAACTGCAAGTACTTTCCGGCGGCAATATTTATCGTTCTCTTTTGAACTTGCCTCTTGCATTTATACAAGACAATTATTTTCAGCAATTTTCCTTTTCATCATTGCCTTTTTGTCATTTTTATACCCTCCACCATAGTATGGAGGGTATATTAAGTTTGTCATTCCGTTTGTAACACCTCGAAATATACATTTTAGACTCCACAAAGTATATATATTCTTGATTAGCATAAAATTCTATGTCGATTTAGCGATGTCCGTCCTTCTGTGGAAATCACTCTAGCTTCCGAACGAATTGAACTAGATTGATAAAATTTTACTCAAATGTATATTGTGTCTGCACGATTTTGGGTATTGAAAATGGGCCATGTAGGTCCACGTTTTGGAATAGCCCCCATAATACTGCCGCCTAAGACAGAAAATTATCTGTGCGAATAGGCCCCATATAACGGTAAGTCCCGATATTCGGTGTTTGATAATTTTAGCGACATTATTTACCGGAATTGTTTCAAATTTGGTATTTGAAGTTCGTAATGAATACTACAGCCTAAAACGGAAAATTGTTTGTGCAGGTCCACGTCTTCGTATGGTCCCCATATAACGGTACCTCCGTATAATCGGTATTTTGATGATTTTAGGTACAATACTCTCCGAAATTTTTTGAGATGTCGTATTTGAAGTTCGTTATGGTACAGCCCGTGACAGAAAATTGTCTATCCAGGTTCAGGTCTTCGTTCAGCTCGGATATAACGGTACCACACTATATATGCAATTTTGATGATTTTAACTTCATTAATCACCGTTTATTTCAAGTTTCAAATTTGAATATGGTAATAGGTAATAGGTACACGTCTTATATACCCTAATATAACGGCTATATTCTGTATTTTTAAAAATTTAACGGAATTTTTAAAGAATTTAATTTTTTGAAATTTTCCATATTCGTTCAAAATGGTGGAGGGTATTCAAAGTTCGGACCGTCCGAATTTACTGATTTTTAACTTGTTTTATGATTCGAATGAAACTGTTATTGGAATAAGGAATTATAGCATGGTTTAAGTATTGCAAGGTCATAGCAAATTCTGGAGATTTTGGTGCCCATTGTGCGCTGGAAATGAAGCGAGGAACCTCATTTTGTAACCATTCTTGGGTGGCACGTGCTGAGTGCGATGGTGCTGATAAAATTTTTTCTGGAAAATTCTCATTAAAATGCTCTTATACGCTTGTAAACAATATAATGGGCTGTCACTAGAATAATCATAATAGCTGTCGGACGAGTGGCTTTGAAATGACAGCAGTCTGAAATGGGTTGCAGTTTTTTTTCTCTCCTGCATATTTTTCATCCTATTTGGTGTTTAAGTCCCTTACAACGTAATATACATTCCAAAACAGTGGTATTTGGTACTAGAGAACAGGTACAGCCCAGAAATAACTTTGCCAAAATTTAAAAAGATTGGTTCAGATTTGGATAAAGCTCCCATGTATATCTCCATACTATTGTTGAGGATATAAAAATAAATACTTTTCTGCACAGAAAGAGAAAGGATTATCTGATTTTGCTCCAACTGTGCATATCCTAATATTTTCATTAGTGCTAGGTCGGGTGCGAAAATGGACAATATCGGTTCACTTCATCAAGTACCCCCCCTCTCAAAGGTTCAACATTTTGAATAATTATAATTCAGATAAATTGTGATGTGAGAGTCCGATTGTCTTCACATTATACACATCCCAATGTTTTTATTAACCCAAGGTCTGGTGTGGAGATGGAAAATATCGGTCCACTTCTTCTAGTACCTCTCCCAAAACGGGTCAACATTTTGAATAATTATGTCTACCGATTCATTTTAAACTTCACATTTTCCAATACTTCAATTAAAACAAGATCTGATGTGAAGATGATAGATATCGGTCCACTCCTTCTAGTATCTCCCCCCAACGGGTCAAAATTTAAAATAAAAATGAAGATCAGTAAAGGTGGAATGTTGATCTGATTCCATTAAAACTCAACACATCCAAATAATTCAATAAATATGAAATATATCGAACCTCTCCTTCTGCTACCTGACCCACAAAGGGTCAACTTTCTGGTTACTTATATCCATTAAAATGTAAGAAGCAAGTCAACAATTCTCTTTAAACTAATTATATCCTAATGTTTGACTAAACTCGCAATTTAAGGTGAATGTCGATTCTCTCCTCTTGAGGCTTAAAAATTTTAAATAAGTCAAGTGTCATAAAATTAAGAAAAATATTTTATGTTTCTTTCGACTTCGCACAAAGCAACACTTTTATCGACATTAGGTCTAGTGTGAATATGGAACTCATCGGCCTATATTTTAGGTACCTCCCCCTCAAAGGGTAAAATAATAAAATTTCTGTAAGCCATCCTTTCCTTCCATCTGGTACATCTCCCACAAAATATATAAAACCCATTAATCCCACAAAACTGGAAATATGTAGTTATTGCACATCTCAATTTGTATCAGTATTAGTATTAGCTGTATTAAGACATCTACTCTCTCTCCTACTATCTCCACAAAGGCTCAACACTTTCCAAAAAATGTATACAACTATTTCAAATAAAAGGGAGGAAGAAGTTGATAGCACTAACACCTTCCACGTCGCAGTAATTATATCAGACTTAAGTCATATGCGATATAGAAAATATTGGTCCACTCCATCGGTACCATCCCAATAAAGGGATAACATTTTGAATAATCAATTCAAAATAGATTTTATTATGAGACAAAAGTTGAGGGTATATATAATTGTTGACAAAACCGACTTATGCTTTTTAACTTATTTTATTCTTATTTATTAATTACAAAATCCCCTTATCGATTTCCCAATAATAATCTGCACTTCTAAATATGGCAACACCTTACCCTGTTAAAAGTTATTTTTAGTTTTATTCCTTTCACCCAACAGATTTTTCATTTTAATTTTTAGAACAAATTTTTGTACTAATAGTTCGGACACAATCCTAATTGCATACAGGGTGTTGTCACCGCTAAAGCTTTATTGAATATGAGAAAAGCTCTTTTTTGCACACGAAAGACTTGACAATGAAATAACCTTAAGTAATAAAAAAACATGAAAAAAGAATCGCTTAGGTTCCACCGAGATTTGAACTCGGATCGCAGGATTCAGAGTCCTGAGTGCTAACCATTACACCATGGAACCAGTTGGGGAATGCGTGGCTATATTATAAGAGGAAGGGGGGGAAGTGATTTTTATGGAGTTGGCATTTTAAGGAATTTTGTTATTTTGGGGGGGTTTTCGATTACAAATATACACACACAATTATCTGTTCTGGGTGAAAGTTGCCAAATAATTTTATGGTTGAGAAGTGGTGATAAGCTGTTTTACAATAAAAGGTGGTGACGGAAGTAAGAATTTGTAGGCCGTCCACTATTAGATTAATTTTGTTATTATTATTAATTTTGTCATTTAATTTGTAGCACTTCAAGGGCATAAATTCTTGACTAAAAATTAAATCGAAATTAAAATTATAATGAAATAAAAAATATAATTAAAAATTTATTAAAAAAAGCTTGTTAAAAAATTAAAAAGTATCAGTTGGTTTTGCAGACCGATGTATACCATCAGCCAATGTTCGATTATTTAAATATATTTCGACTTTTGTTATGATTATTCAATATGGACCAATATTGTCCATTTCGTATCGGACCTAAGTAAATATGACATAAATATTGCAATGTGCCAGGTTTGGACTATATCGACTACTTTCCTACTCGAAATATTCAGAATAGACCCTACAAAGTACTTATATTCTGGATCAGCGTAAAATTCTAAGACGACCTAGCAATGTTCCTCTGTTGTAATCACGGTATCTTTTGAACGAATTGAACATAGTTTACCAGTAGGCAGGTTAAGTTTGTAAATGGGCCATGTCGATATTCGGTATTTTCATGATTTTAGCGACATTATTTATCGGAATTATTTCAAACTTCGTATTTGAAGTTCGCAATGGGTACTACAGCCTATGACAAAAATATTTGTATGCAGGTCCACGTCTTCGTATAGTCCCCACATAACGGTACCTCCTGATACTCGGTATTTTCATGATTTTTGCGACAATATTCACCGGAATTGTAACAAATTTAGTATTTAAAGTTCGTAATGGGTACTGCAACCAATGGCAAAAATTTCGTATGAAGGTCCACGTCTTCGTATAGCCCCCATATAACGGTACCTCCCAATATTCGTTATTTTCATGATTTTAGCGACATTATTTACGGGAATTATTTCAAATTTCGTATTTGAAGTTCGTAATGCGTACTACAGCCTCTGACGAAAATTTTCGTGTGCAGATCCACGTCTTAGTATAGCCCCCATATAACGGTACCTCCCAATATTCCGTATTTTCATGATTTTAGCGACATTATTTACCGGAATTATTTCAAATTTCGTATTTGAAGTTTGTAATGGGTACTAAAGCCTATGACGAAAATTTTTGTATGCTGGTCCACGTCTTCGTATAGCCCCCATATAACTGTACCTCCCAATATTTGGTATTTTCATGATTTTAGTGACATTATTTACCGGAATTATTTAAAATTTCGTAATGATAGATCGTAATGGGTACTTCAAGCTATCACAGAAAATTGTCTATGCAGGTTCAGGTCTTCGTATAGCCTCCATATAGCGGTTCCTTCTGATATTCGGTACTTTGATTATTTTGGGACATTACTGGAACTGTTACAAATATCGTATTTGAAGTTCGTAATGGATACTACAGCATATTATAA